CTTCTTTATAAGCCCATCAACACAGTTTTATGATTATGATTTTATTCCAGTTGCCTTTTAGATCATATAGGAGAAGGAAAGAGTTATAAACAAAAACATTTATACTGTATTTTATATTTATTTGTTTAGTTACCAGTTACCTTTACTGGTACTCTTTAATTCTTCATGTGGATTCAAGTTACCACCTCTGCTCTCCCTAATGGTTGTGGAGAATGGAAGGGAATGGAAGGGAAGAGGATGAGGACAAAAATGGACTTATCCTAGAAGAGGAGGGAGGATGGTAGAGATTTTGCAGTGTAGATAATTGAAAAGTATCTCTCTCATTTGGCTAATACTTAACTAGAGTCTCCTATGTATCAGGAACTATGCTCAACACTGGGTATTCAGTCACAGAGACATAGTAAAAAGACACAGTCCTTGTTCTATAGACTAGTGGGGGAGAAAGGAGAAAAACAAGCCTATCCTAAAATTATAAATTAAATTTGTGTCATGGATGGTGCAGATTTACTTGAGAGAGTATTAGAAAACACCTCTTGTGGATATGATGTTTAAAATGAGATCTGAAGGATGATGAGGCAGCTTGGTGATGGTGGTGGTGGTGAGGGGCTGTGGGGAGACGTAAAGGTAGAGGGATCAGGGTATTCTAGGCCAAGGGAGCAGTGAGTGTAAAGGTTTTCAGATAGGGTTGAATCTAGCACTGTGAAGAAGAGAGAAAAGGTCAGTATGTTTGAGGCATAATGAATGAAGTAGGGAGTAGGAAAGATACGCTTGAGGAGACAGGCAGGGTCTAGATCATGCAGGGCCTTGCATGTGAACCTGAGGAGTTTTGATTTTACTCAAAGAATAATGGAGTACCTTTTTTGTTTGTTTGTTTGGTTGGTTGGCTGGGTTTTTTTTGAGACAGAGTCTCACTGTTGTTGGCCAGGCTGGAGCGCAAGGGCACATCTCGGCTCTATGCAACCTCTGCCTCCCAAGTTCATGCAGTTCTCCTGCCTCAGCTTCCTGAGTAGCTGGAACTATAGGCATGCACCACAATGCCCAGCTAATTTTGTATTTTTAGCAGAGACAGGGTTTCACCATGTTGGTTAGGCTGGTCTGGAACAATGGAGGCCCCTTAAAGCAGAGGTAATAAACCAAAAGTATGTAGTTTCTGCCTCAAGGCATATCCATACTTAGTGCAGTATGGTGCCAACTCTTAATCTTAGTTTTAAACAGGGATTTCATATAAAAATCTAGATTTCCAGCTTCTCTTTTAAAAAGCTGAAGATCTCGCCATATCTTACTCCAGTTGTTTGGTGGAAGTTGGGTATAATCCCATGTTGGGGTTTTGCCAGGCAAGTGCAAAAGAGGCAGAGGAAGATGGGAGTTGAGAATACTTTCAAGGGAGTGATTGTAAGGATAAACTATTGAGTCTCAGCTGGATAACATGGCAACTGAATTCTAGAGGTGGGTGATGAATAGATAATGGTGGTTCAGTGGACTGGCATCTCAATTAACTCAAAGAATTATTTATAAGGGATATTTTTACAAGTGAGCCAGAAGAACTGAAAGTTGTCACAAGAGAATGAGGCGTTAGCACTGTGATTGTGGATGTGGTAATCTCTGGTGAAGAGAAGTTCCCAGGTGTGACTATAGAAGTGGATGGCTGAAGTGGGGTGGAAGAAAAGGTTATTGGGCATGACAGCAAGCAACTAAGAGATCAGCATGATGAGAGGAATGGAGATGAAGATAAGTCTTTAAGTCAGATGTAAAATCTTAAATGAATAAGAGGGAGTCATGGGAAATCACAAGATCACAGCCACAGTCACTCCTGAAATCCTAGAGAGGATGAAAAAGAGGTAATAGTTTGAGGAGCAAGGAAATTATGACCTCATCTGATCCTGAGGTATATCATGTAAGAAAAATAGAATGGTTGACTTTGAAATTGGGAACCAAGGCTAGAAACTGGGGTGAGATTCTCATGATGAAATATTCAACTTTTTTCTTTTTCTTTGGTCTCTGGGAACACTTACATTAGTATCAATTTTTTTTTAAATGATAATTCTACCTCATTAATTTCAAATTTTCTCTAAGAGTCTATTACATATTTGTAAGAGTCTATTACAGATGTGTTCATGGTATTGTAGGAAACTAAGGGATGGGGCAGTGAATCTAAGTGTGGCTTTTCATGTATATCTCTCTGTTAAGATCATGTAATCATCTTATTCAGTGAGTTCTCAGAGGTTACTAGCAGGAAAAGGAACAGTGTTCCTTGGTGGAGCTAACTCAGGAGCATAAGTCTCTGATTAATCTGCAAAAATCCTGCGACAGGAACTACACTTCTCACATCAATGCTTACTGAGGTGATACTGAAACATTATTGAAATTTAGAGGGCTGGGCACGGTGGCTCACACCTGTAATCCCAGCACTTTGGGAGGCTGAGGCGGGCAGATCACCCGAGGTTAGGAGTTCAAGACCAGCTTGGCCAACATGGTGAAACCCCATCTCTATTAAAAATTAAAAAAATTAGCTAGGCATGGTGGTGGGTGCCTGTAATCCCAGCTACTCGGGAGACTGAGGCAGGAGAATCACTTGAAACTGGGAGGCAGAGGTTGCAGTGAGCCAACATTGCACCATTGCATTCCAGCCTGGGCCACAGGAGTAAAACTCCATCAAAAAAAGAAAGAGAAAGAGAGAGAGAGAGAGAGAAGAGAAGAGAGAGAAAAAACAAAAAAGAAAAAAGGATAAAAAAGAAAAAAAAAGGCTGGGTGCAGTGGCTCACACCTGTAATCCCAGCACTTTGGGAGGTCATGGCGGGTGCATCACGAGGTCAGGAGATTTAGACCATCCTGGCTAACAAGGTGAAACCCTGTCTCTACTAAAAATACAAAAAATTAGCCGGATGTGGTGGTGGGTGCTTGTAGTCCCAGCTACTCAGAAGGCTGAGGCAGGAGAGTCGCTTGAGCCAGGGAAGCAGAGGTTGCAGTGAGCCGAGATCACACCACTATACTCCAGCCTGGGTAACAGAGCGAGACTACATCTAAAAAACAAAACAACAAAACAAAACAAAAAAAACCCCACTAAATACTATACAAGAAACTAGTAACAGTGACTACCCCTGGGAGAGGGATTACAGGTAGGAGAGGGCAAGAGGTTTCACAGTCTGCCAGCTCTATCTAGTAAGTATTTTTCAGTGATGGAAGTGTCCTCTAGCTTCATGTGGCTATTGTCTGCTTGAAATGTGGCTACTGAAACCAAGGAACTGAATGTTTAGCTTTACTAATTTTAATTAATTTAATCACATATGGCTAGTGGCTACCATATTGGACAGTGCAATTATACCGTTGGAGTTTTTTATACTTTATGCAAACATTACCTTTAAAAGTCAAAAGAGACAATGTTGTATTCCTAACAATACTTATGAGTAGTGGCTTCAAGGAGTGTATTGTGTCCGTGTTATAGCCAATAAAAAGTAAATGACAATCATTAACACTTGGATCTTGCTTGCTATGTGCCAGGTATTGCTCTAGGTGCTTTTCAGACATTAATTCCCTTCATCTTCCCAGCAACCTTATGAGGTAGGCACGATTATTTATCCCAGTTTTACAGAGGAAGTATGCACAGAATGATTAAGGCAGTAGCTACGGTCACCTAGCCAAGAACCGATAAACTAAGATTTTGTGCAGGCATCTGTCTCAGCCAGTTGATTCTGTGCACTTAACTGCAACACTGTCTCTTAGGCAACTGACCAATCACAAACATACCTACAAGTTTCCATCAAGGGTGAAACACAAATGATACTGGGGAAAATCCAACTACAAAGATACACTATCCTTAACACTATTTCAAATAAAAAGATTTGTGTGTACATTTAAAATAAATGTAGTTAATAAATGAAAAAAGTGTGGATATTTTTGTGGGCAGTCATTTGCCTAACACTACTCCTTTTGGTTTTCCAATGTCCCATATCTCTTATTTCCTATCTGCTACCGTTCTCACTGTCCTAGTTGAAGACAGGTCAGTCTATTCCCCTTACTTTCCATCCCAAAGTCTTTCTTAATACTTCAGATGTCAGCCACCTGGGCGTCTCTAAGTCCTTTAAATTTCTTTCTTTCTTTTCCTTTTTTTGAGACGGAGTTTGGCTCTTATTGCCTAGGCTGCAGTGCAATTGTGGGATCTCAGCTCACCACAACCTTGGCCTCCCAGGTTCAAGCGATTCTCTTACCTCAGCCTCCAGAGTAGCTGGGATTACAGCCATGCGCCACCACGCTCAGCTAATTTTGTATTTCTAGTAGAGACAGGGTTTCTCCACGTTGGTCAGTCTGGTCTTGAACTCGCGACCTCAAGTGATCTGCCTACCTCAGCCTCCAAAAGTGCTGGGATTACAGGCATGAGCCACCACACCCGGCCTAATATATATTTTTATTACACAAAGGTTACCATATTATTTGCCCTGCCCTGTATCTAATTTTTGTTTTATTTAAAATACATTAACTATTGTTTTCTAACAGCTCAAAGATTTAGAGCATGTGATATTAGGCTTTCAGAGCAGCTCTTAAGACATTAAAGCGCCGGCGCGGTGGCTCACGCCTGTAATCCTAGCACTTTGGGAGGCCGAGGGGGGCGGATCACAAGGTCAGGAGTTTGAGACCAGTCTGGCCAACATAGTGAAACCCCCGTCTCAAAAAAAAAAAAAGAAAAGAAAAAAAAAACCCAAACAAACCACTTAAAGCACAATTTGAATATAAGAAATATGCATAGGTTTCAAGGACAGACCGTATTTGGTTAAAAAAAAAATGCGTATGGTTACCTTTGGAAGCAGGTGGAAGGAATGAATTACTTCAATTTCCTTCCTTGTGTGGCACCTGCGGAAACCACACTGCGGCTGGGTGAATTGAAGTCAGCAATTAATTGATTATCACCCTCCAGCTTGGTCAGGAATGCTTCAGCCCCCGCAGTGCCGCTCAGAGATCGCCTGCCAGAAAAGCGGTTGGGGCACTGTTAAGGCGCCTGGTATCTGGGCTGGGAGGTCCGCTCACTGGCGACTGCAGGTCGTTGGGCCACCCCCAGTCCGCAGGGAAGGGAACCCCACTGCCTTTCCGAGGTGCGCGGCGCCCCCTGCTGCCAGCCGGAGGAGCTCAGAGCCCGCTCGCAGGAGGCTGGGAACATGGCGGGGCAGTCCAGGAACATGGCCGGGCAGCCCGCGGCCCCTGGCTTGCCATCTCCGGACGGGGACGGAACGGAGCCCAACGTCGTGGCTCGGATCTCACAGTGGGCGGACGACCACCTGCGCCTAGTTCGGGTATCGCAGCCACGCGGTCTGGACGGGTGGTGGGCGCAGGGCGACACAGAGCGACCCTAAGAAGAACGTGAGGCCTCAGTCGGGGGTCCCGCTGGGGCCGAGGAGCTGCAGAGAACTGCCGGGGAGTGAGCTCCAGAGGGCGACATCGCGAGCGTAGTGTGTGCGGGGCTGCAGAGGGAGGGCCGGGGACGGGCCAGGGGGCCAGCTCGGCCTCGTTATTGCAAGGACTGTGCTGGATCCTTGCTGGGCTGTGGGGGGCACCTCAAAGGGTGAGACACAGCCCAGCTCGGGGTTGCCACTTGGTCCTGTAGAGCACTTGGGGAGGGCTCAGAGAGGAGACAGAGGAAGAGTAGGGAAGTCCTGTACGCCTTCTTTCTGGCCCAAGCTGTAGTGCAGTGGCACGATTATAGCTCATTGCTGCCTCCACCTCCTGGGCTGAAGAGATCCTCCTACTTCAGCCTCCCAAGTAGCTGGAACCACAGGTGTGCACTACCACACCGACTAATTTCTTTTAAAGTTAGAGACGGGGGTCTTGCTTTGTTGTCCAGGCTCGTCTCCAACTCCTGGCCTCAAATGATCTCCCACGTCAGTCTCCTGAATAGATTTCTTTTTTTTTTTTTTTGAGACAGGGTCTCACTCTGTCATGTTTGGAGTGCAGTGGCACCATCATATCTCATTGCAGCCTGCACTTTTGGGCTTAAGCAATCCTTCCACCTCAGCCTGCTGAGTAGCTGGGACTACAAGGCACTTGTCACCACACCAGGCTAATTTGTTTTTTATTTGTGAGGCAGGGTCTCCCTGTGTTTCCCAGGCTGGCCTTGAACTCCTGGCCTCAAGGGATCTGCCCGCCTCAGCCTCCCAAAGCACTGGGATTATAGGCATCAGACCATGATGCCCTGCCTTCTTTTTTATTTCTTTTTATTTTCTTTCTTTCTTTCTTTCTTTTTTTTTTTTTTTTTTTTTGTGAAGCACTAAGCCTCTGGAGTTGAAGCAAGAGAGGGACATGTTAGGCCACCAGACAAGAGAGGGTTGTGGCTAAGACACAGAATTGTGGTGATGTGAATTGTTTGGGTGTGAGGTACAAAGAAAGAAGTCCAAGGAGGCTGGCAATAGTTGCTGTTAAGGAGTTGGAGTAAATGATTTGTTGGGGAAAATCTAGAGAACTTTTTGGACATGTGCATGGAGATGTGTGAACCTGAAGATGGTTATTAAGACTTCTAAGCAAAACTGTAGATGCTGTTCTTGGAAACTGTACATGGAATCTGGTGTTGAAAGGAGATCAAAACCTGACATAGAACATTGGGAATGACCTGCCTAAACCTTAAGGAGCATTTAAAGCTGTGGGCTTGAATAACAACTCAGAGCAAGGGAGAAAAGCAACTGAAGGAGCCCTAGAATTTGGGGGATTATAACATGGAGAATCTGGGGAGTGAAGAGGAGGTCAGCAAGACTAACAAGAAGCAGACAGTGAGGTAGTAAGAAAGTCAGGACAGCCAGGTGTTCTAGAAGCCAAGTGAAAAAAATGTTTTCAGGAGGAATCATTAACTGTAAAAAAAAACTCTGCTGAAGGCCAGGTGTGGTGGCTAATGCCTGTAATTCCAGTACTTTGGGATGCTGAGGCGGGCAGATCATGAGGTCAGGAGATTGAAACCATACTGGCCAATGTGGTGAAACTCTGCCTCTACTAAAAATACGAAAATTAGCTGGGTGTGGTTGCCTGTGCCTGTAATCCCAGCTACTCGAGAGGCTGAGGCAGGAGAATTGCTTGAACCAGGGAGTTGGAGGTTGTAGTGAGCGAAGATCACACCATTGCACTCCAGCCAGTGTGAGACTCGGTCTCAAAAAAAAAAAAAAAAAAAAAATTTTTGCTGAAGGCCAGGCATGTTCGCTTATGCCTGTAGTCCCAGCACATTGGGAGGCTGAGGCAGGTGGATCACAAGGTCAGGAGTTCAAGAACAGCCTGACCAACATGGTAAAACCCTGTCTCTACCAAAAATACAAAAATTAGCCAGGCATGGTGGCACACCCCTGTAATCCCAGCTACTCAGGAGGCTGGGGCAGGAGAATCGCCTGAACCCGGTAGGGTACCCCAACCTGGGCGACAGATTGAGACTCTGTCTAAAAAAAAAAATTCTGCTGAAATGTTGAGTAAGACAAGCTTTGCAAATGCTCTGCAGCCAAGCAGCACAAGGTCTAAGGCCATGCAGTTTTAACTCACCATTGTAGCCCCAGTTCTTAGAGTAATATCTGCCACTTAGTAAGTGCTATATAAATATTTGTAGCATCATTGAATAGTAAATAATATGTGTTAATCGATGAAAACTCATTTCTTTCAGTTAAGCAGTAATAGATGCATGGGTTATTTCAAATTATAAAGTGACTTCGTAAGGATTATGGGAGGAAGTTGTGTAAATTAGAACATGGTTATAATATTACAAATAATCCAATAACAGAACCCAGAGTATGTACCTTTGTGCATATTTTCAATCTCATTTCTTTTTTCTTTTGAGACAGAGTCTTACTCTGTTGCCCAGGCTGGAGTGCAGTGACACAGTCTCGGCTCATTGCAACCTCCACCTCCTGGGTTCAAGCAAATCTCGTGCGTCAGCCTCCTGAGTGGCTGGAATTACAGGTGTGTACTACCACAGCTGGC